GGAATTAAATTCCTTGGGGGGAAAAATATGAGACAGCTAGTTATAAATCAAAAATATATCCCTGGAAATAATTATAATTAGTTTATATATTAGGAGTACAATTCAGTAATTGCTTGATATTTTAATCTTTTTTTTTTTTACAGAAAAGAGAGGAATGTGATTGAAGCAGCTTCATCGGGGGCATCCAATGCTGTTGGTTTGGTTGCCAATATTGCTGTCAATTTGATTGCTTTCTTAGCCCTTCTTGCATTTTTGAATGCTCTACTTGGCTACCTAGGTAGCAGAGTTGGAATAGAGGGTCTTAGTTTTGAGGTAAGTGTGATTTTCATACATGTTCTAGATTTTGTCTGGTATAAGAAACATTAGTAACTTGAACAGTTTGAACAAAGAGATTATGTTTTTAATAACATAATAATGGTTCTAAAATTCCATTAAATGCTGGTTCAAAAATTGTATGCCTATCTTTAAGAATGCATTAACTGAGATAAAACATTTGTATAAAATGGAAAGGTATATGTTTGATACCAACTGTAAGAAAAACAAATTTAAAGTACGTTGGCGTAACTGGCGCACTCTTTTAGAAGAAAAATAACTTGTAAAACGGAATGTATAATAGATTAGTCAGGTTGGAAATGTTTACATTGTAACTTAGTGAGACGTGAAAAAAAAAACCTGTTATGTTCACTCCGCGGCATTACATGGATACCTGGTTATGTGGATAAATAAAAATAAAATTAAAAAAAAACTTGATGGTTTTTGAACTGTGTTAGAATTGCTAGTTAAAGCTTTGTTAATGATATTATTACTAATAATACATCAACTATTGATCTTGCCTAAGTCGAATCCAAAATGCCATTGAAAAATTGTTCGACTTAGATAAAATTTGACTTGCAGATTGTTAATTAAGGGAAAACACAACAATTTGGCATGTAAAATAAGTTCGATTAGATAAAATTTGACTTACAGATTGTTAATTAAGGGAAAACACAACAATATGGCATGTAAAATCAGTTTGACTTAGAAATTATTCGTGTTAGTCAAAGTCGACTTAGGCAAGTTTAACTATATGGTCTGGTATACAAACATACTTTGATTCCATAATGGTTAGACACACCTGTAGTAGGGTCGTCATGCGTTAACGTTCTTGTTTTAATGCTAAAAAAAAGTAATTGTTTTGTAATGGACCTGCTTATCAAATATAATTGTTCTGCTGATTGCTTACATTATTTTAGCTTGGGAATAATCAATCATTGGTACTATTTAGTGCCAAACTTGCTTCATCACTGACATTGATTTTCAGTGGTGCTTATGGCCATAGACTTAGAATATGTGTAGGTGTGTAGTGCTAGTGAGATGTTCCTGACTGCTGACGTACCTAACTATGGTAAATTTAATATAGTCCATCCTAAAACCACCTCTAGGTTTCCACCAAGATATTAATATGGTGTTTTCAAAGTTGTTGGAAACAAATTTAAAAGAGCCAAATATGGTATGGTGGTGCTTTGCTGAGCTTCTGCTGCAAATTTAGCCTCTTACCAGAAAATAATAAGGATCTGGTCCCAGGAAATAGCACAATGTGACACTATTGTTGCTTATACTGTTGCTGCTGCTGTTGCAATAATGAAATGAAAGTGTTGCAATTCATTTTTCTTGGTCAAACTCATACAATGGCTTAAAATGCACTTTACTTGTCACAGATAGCAATAAAAATATGAAAAGGTCAGACAAAAAATGGGTTAAAACAGATGGTTAAAATTGAACAAGTACAGAATAAAATTTACATACAGTATTTTCTTCCACATTTCTTACAGATGATCTGTTCTTATTTGTTTATGCCAATTGCATTTGTAATGGGAGTCGAGTGGAAAGATTGCGGCATAGTTGCAGAGTTGATTGGCACAAAGACATTTGTTAATGAGTTTGTTGCTTATGATCGTCTTGCAGGATACATAAATGATGGATCCATATCGGTATGTCATTTTCTGCATTGTCTAACTTTTTAATTGTATTTTCAAGATACATCATCAGTCAGAAAATAGAGGAAATCCCTTGCAAATTTAGTTTAACATTAAATATCTCAATTCAAGGTTTCAAATAAGTTATAGACTTTCAATGACACAGTGAATTATTTTTGCAGAATTTTTTTTTAGTAAAAAATATATAGATGATGTTATTTATATGTTAAATGCTAGGAAAATGGGTTTTTTCTAATTTTTAATTTAAAGCTAATTTAACTAGCTTAAATTAAGTGTGAACTCTTTACATATTTTACTTTTGCCCTTTTTTATTGAAAGTTCACCTAATTTTATCCTTCCTAGGTTCGCTCGCAAGTCATCACTACATATGCCTTATGTGGGTTTGCCAACATCGGTTCTGTGGGCATCCAACTAGGTGGGCTATCATCCCTAGCCCCAAGCAAGAAGAGTGATCTAGCAGCAGTTGCCATCCGCGCCCTCATCACCGGCACACTAGCCTCCTTCATGACAGCATCAATAGCTGGTAAGGAGTAGGCTTATTGTGTTTGTTACTAATATTAATTTTTTCATGAAATCTTGCATTTTTTTTCTACAGCCTTGATGTGTTTCAGAGGCATGTTTATTATTGCTAGAACTTCCTAAGTGGCAAATAATTGGAAATAACCCCTGATTATGAGAGAAATTGTGATTATTATGGGCAAATATCAATTAATTGATTTAACTATGTAACAACAAAAATATTTAGATTTAAAATGAGTTACATTTCGATTACATCAAATAGTACTATAATAACTAGAAATAAAAAATGGCCAAATGGTCAGATGCAGCTTAGGCAGATGTTCTGTTTACCCTCATTTAACTTTATGATCTAAACGATAATTATAATCTTGATAATTTATGTTAATTTAACTACTAGTAGGCCAACATTAATTTTACACACTACATATTATGCAATAAATTAAAGAAATAAAATTAGAGCACTTATGGTGAACTACTTATCTTAATTGATGATTTAATTTTTTACTGAAAATGTTGTATTCTGTATTTATAGGTTTATTATACGTACCAGTCGAGGTGGTTGGAAACTTCACAACAGCTTTTCCAGCAGCTGCAGCTACAATGGTTGGAAACTTCACAACAGCATTGCCAGAATATGCAACAACAATACTGTGATCCGTTAATAAATAGGTAGCCTAACCAACGATTCCAATGCATGTTCAATAGTGTCCTGTAGAGTAATTTTAAGTTCTTTGTAAATTTGTTGAGTGGGAGTGTGTCAAGAGTGTCACTTGGCTTCATCCTATGGGACAGGTATTCTCCTGTATGATGAAGCCATCCATTAATTAGAATAGCTTTGTACAGATTTTATTTTAAAAATTGTTTACACATTCATTAATTGGGGACACAAACAAATAATCAAATAAATATGTTTAAAATAGTAAACCCAGTTCGAAATTATTTATAAACGATAAAATTTCCTCCAGTGTCAACCATAACTTCTCCAAACAATTTTAATAATAATAATATAGGTGCAAGTCAAGGATTTGTAGTTAACACTGAAGAGAAATTATTTTAGTTTTAATGATCTTAAATCCAACAAAATTGTACCCAAATAAATTACCATTAAGAAAAATAATGGTAAACATTCAAGAATAAGGCAATAAATCAATCAACAGTTCTATGTATAAATGCGACGGTAATGAATTTTAAAATTAAAAATCTTCTAATTAGTACGTTTGGCTTTAATAATATAGTTACTATCAAAATAGATAATAATCTTTGCATAATGTTTGAAATACAAATTAGCTAAACTTGGGTATGGGTTAGCCAAATATGGGTATGATCCAAAATTGTGGGTACGAGTCTGCCAAAATTTGGGTACGAGTTGGTATGGGTACAAGTTAGCCTGTATTCATTTAGTCACTGTAACACTACATTTTCCAAAAGCCAAACCCTAATATAATTATACTGAAAGAGGTCTTCTGTGATGTAGGCTACACTATTCAATGTCATGGAATATTGAATATTTATTTGTGATTGATACTAAGTATCAGTTTTAACCACATTATTCCAGTCAACATTGTCCATTAATAATAACAGGGTAAATATATCATATATATTTCATTATTAAACAATGAGTGCTAAAATGTGACTTTGTAACATGTTCATATGTGAATTCTATCCTCTATACTTCCAAAAATGTTTTTACAAATGACACACATATATTTTTTTTAGTGTTAAGACATTTGCTACTGTATCTGTTCTATGCCAAAATGGTGTAAATTCTTAATAAACTGTTATATTGTACTTATGTTAATACTATCAAGAGTAATTTCATGTAAGTTCATATTATTTTCTTGTTTCACATTTTTTTGGTCTATTTTATTTAAAGTTTTAACTTATTTCCATCAAAAAGAGGAAATTTTTATCAATGGTGGTTAAAAAATAGGCTGTGGTTATTGTTTCGGCAATTTTACGCAAATCTCAGGTGTTGATTGGTGTTGCCGGCTTAACACAATCCTCAAACTTTAGTCTTGCTATCTTAATGCAATGTGATGTGTCGGAAGAATAACCATTTCCTACAAAATATGCTTCCAAAGTGGAAAGTAAACATTTGTAATTACAGATTTTATTTCCATTTGTATATTTATGGAAAAAATACATTCAAAAGGTTCTAATTGTTATTTATTATGAACAAAATATAGGCAAAGTATTTTTTTATTCAACAGCCTTATTCAAGTACCAATACTGCCCTCTGTGCTTCCAGAAACATCCTTGTGAATAGTAAAAAATGATTTGTTGTGTTAATAGACTGTTTATGTATTTATAGACAAGCTTACTAGCATAATTCCATTAGGATGATATTTTGAATATTTCTGAAGATAGTGCATAGAAAAATATTAAAATGAATTCCTAGATTTTAATTCAAATTTAATGTTTTAAATTAGCTGCATTCTAATTGTTTTGAATATTAATGATGAATAAGTTCATTTACATTATCAACTTATTTTGGAATTGGATTTTATTGGACTCTTTACAGGATGATTGCTTGTTTAATTAGTCAGAAAGTATAAAGAAACAATTTATTTGGTGGTTAACATAATCTGCTGCCAAAGATAGTAAACCAAAAATGTATACAGTTTAACTACAGTTATACCAGACTGTACAGTTATACTTGCCTAAGTCGAATAATTTCTAAGTCGATTAATTTCTAAGTCGATTAATTTCTAAGTCGATCTTATTTTACATGCCAAATTGTTGTGTTTTCCATTAATTAACAATCTTTAAGTTCGAATTTTATCTCAGTTGAACAATATTTCAATTGCATTTTGAATTCGACTTAGGCAAGTTCAACTCTAATGAAATTACAGATTTTAATTCCAATTTACTATTTAATAATAATTTTATTTGAAATATTTTAATATCTTCATTGCTTGAGTATAGTATTTACTGATTGATGGGTTGATTCTTCTCAATATGTATTTTATTAAATATTGCTTTGGTTGAAATTGTCCAAATAAGGCAATCAAAATAAGTTAACTATACTGACTGAAGGTATATTCATGTAGCTATCCAGTATATTTTTAAGATTAAGAAATACTCCATATTCTTCCCCAAGTGTAGTAGTCAAAAGTGTAAAATGTATGGATTTAAATATATTTTTTAAAATTCAATTTCAATTCAATTTAATTCATTGACTTAATTTGTTTGAATGTGCTTCCAGAGATAAACATGAATTTATCATTATACTTTTAGGATTGAAATGCTACAACATTAAGTTATAAATGCTCTAATTAACTTGCAGGCAAGATAGTCCTGATTTAAATATGATTCTGATTACTGTAATACCAATTCGGGCACAAAAAAGCAGAAAACCTGTAAATAATCACAGAGGCTCATCACTTGTAGATTTGTGAGCCATGTCCTTTGTCTCTTGTTTTTTTTTTTTAATGAAATTCTGCTTGACTTCGGTATATACTAGACTAGTACTAGTGTATAATTAATTTAAGTGTGGTGAGTATTTTATGTTTACACAGATGCTAGCTTAATTGTTTTTAAGCACTTGTAATTATTGACCAGGAGTGAGTCAGTATGTTGTACAGTAATATGATGAATAAAATGCTGTTTATAATAATTAATAGGTATTTTCTTGGAATATGAATTATAAAAAAACAAAATTTTATTGTTTATAACATTTTTTTTAATGGAAGTTTAAGTTTGGGATGATGAAATATTTGAAATGATTGATAATGGCCTTGACAACTGTGTTGTCATTCCTCTTTATTCAGGATATATTAAACTGGGCGGAGACTGCGTTGGCTGAGAATTGTTGGTGTGATTACATTAAGACTGCGACGTGCGCAGTGGATCGTTTTCAAATGTAATGTGCGTATACTGTCACCGACAACCATCGGGTGACTCATAGTGTGAATCCTCTTGCATTGTGACTTAAAAAATGGATACATAAACTGAAGTCATACATACATTAAATACTTACACAAATACTGTACACATTAAATGAGCACAAAATCATGGTATACATGGTGTGAAAATTGACCTTGCAGCTTTTATATGCATTTACCATGCATGATCCAGACACATATGTTCTAAAAAAGTGGTCATGCAAATCTAGACAGTGACCATGCATGCACTAGACAGTCATCCTATGTGCTCTAGACACTAGGCCATGTGTGCTTAAAACATTGCATGAAACCATTCCTGCCCTACACATCTCTATGTGTGCTCTACATGTCTTTTGAATTGTGCTCCACAATAATCGCTTGCGGTCTTGACACTCACTGAATACTGTGATCATGTTTGTTCATTGACATACATGCTCTAGACACTGTGGCCATACATGTAATAGGTACAATGGCTGTGTTCTAGATATGTGGCAAAGACAAGCCAAACCAGTCACTCGTCGCAAAAATCGATTTTGGGTTATTAATACAGTGTTAGAGAGTAAAATAATAGCTATAAAATGGTAAAAAAATCATTCAAATCGGACATTTCCTTATGAAGTTACCAGTGTTTAACCACACAGCTGTTTAAAGAACAATATGAGAAATTAACCGTCAAAGTTTATGATTTCAGGCATTTCACATGCAGAAACTATCTTTAAATCCTTAAAAAGTATTTTTTTAACATTGAAAATGGGGAAAATAACAGCATAGAATGATGTGTAGATATATAAAGGTTAGTTTAATGCAATAAAATAGATTTTTAAAAATTTGACATTTCAGCATGTTTTGGCCATTTTCTCTGAAACACGATTTGCGACGAGTGAATGGTTTGGCTTGTCTTTGCCACATATGTGACCATGCATGATCTAGATAGTAACCATGTGTGCTCTAGAAACAGTGATAATGTGTCCAGAATGGCCATAAAGACGTATAACTCTGTAGTCTAGTGCAGCACTGTAACACTTGTTAATATTCATAATTCCATTAAGAATATATCCTTTGAATTGAATTACAATACAATAAAGCAGAATGATGTGAAATCAAACGTTTTAGTTTGAATGTTATACAGTAATGTACATACGGTATTTAAGTTATACAGTACTTAGATGTTTAGTGTTTTCAAATGTTGTAAGTCAGATTGTATTGTCCTAATACACAGTCCATTTGGTACTGTTAACAAGGGTGTACAAAATTTAGCAAATAGATTATATTCTATTGGTTAATGCGAATCAATGCAACTTCATGTAGTAATGTTTGCTGGCAGTAGCTGTCGCACATTATGCACCTAAGGTTGGGTGTTTTTATTGGTTGATGGATAATAAAGACATTTGACATTGAATTCTTTTGTTTTTGTCATTTTTACAATGATTGTATGTGACATGCTCTTCACTACAATATATAAAACACTACAATTGCACAGTGGAGTTGGTCTATCTGGACATAAATTTACACATAGAATCTGATTCAGGATATTTCCATTTTCACAAAATTTGATGGATGAACAGTGTGTATGTAGGAAGGCCACTAAACTGATTGCGATGAGAATCAAATTTATTTGTTCTTGAATATTAAATTAATGATGGACCGTGTTTCAGAAGCATTGAACGCCAGCGTTCCTATTGTTACACTTATTTGATTTTCTGATAGCTTCGGTAGGCTCTCCGATCCGAAAATTCGGATTCAGTGTGGATGCACCTCAAGCTTGTGCCAGGTCTGAGAATAGGCTTGTGGCAGTGGCGGAGGGGCTTAAGCCACCCATTGGTCTGGTCAAGCCCCTCCATCGGCCAAAGCTCGTCGGGCAGTCAGACCAAAAAAAAAAAAAAATAGGCCTAGTTTTTCCATCCCAGCCATCTGGAAGTCCCAATTAAAAAAAAAAAAATCTCGTTTTTGGAGGAGGGGACACCCCCTCGCATACCCACCCCTGGCTCAGGCCTTCGGCTATAGTTACACCCATAAATACTTAGTCCCCAGCCGGACATCTTAGCTCCCCCATAAATTATATCCAAGCCACTGGCTTGTGGCAAACATTCTATAAAAGTGGGTTGTAGCAAAATATCTGAGTGAGTAGGAGTTGATTGTGGAAGGGCTGTATTACAAATACAACAACGTTGTCACTAGGTGTGTGTGGAGACGCACATATTATTGTGTTCTTGATGCTTAAATTTTCCTTCAAGTATTCTTAATACAGTACAGTATTTGTACTGCATAACATTGGATTGGATTTATTTGGTGTAAACACCAAGGATAGCCCACACGAAAGTCTAGAAGAAGACTTATTTCCAGTGGGGTCCTTCTGGTGGTGATTGGACAGTACACCGGAAGACATTCCCCTACTCTTTTCCGAAGAGTGTACTGCATTCTTCAACGTGCACATGGGCCATAAATGCACAAGGGACCAACGGCCTAAACGTCTCATCCAAAAGACGGTGTGCTATTGTAACTTGCATTGTCAAATGACTCGGCCAGTGGTTTACAAATGTATTTTTTATGAGTTATAATAAAGACTAAAACCAAACAAAAAGCGAATAAGGAATTACTTCATCAAAACAAACAAGTTTATTTCCGGGACTCCCGGATGTAAATTAGTACAGCAAATATCTTTGGCTCCTATATACAACAAAAATTATTTTGCAACATTCATACACATCTCATCTTGAATCTCCAATAATTTTGACACTGTTTTAATTTAATTCATATGACGCTAAAACTTGCATTGATTCAAGCACAAAGATGAAAGAACAATCTGTTAAAGTGAAAGGCCCACATATTTATGTGACAGTCGCAATGTACATTCATGAGGCAACCCACACATGTTCCCATTATAGTTGCACACATTAATATGATATTTGAACATGTTTATATAACAAATTCACATGTTCACATGACAATGCACATGTTCATGTGATAGCTGTGCATGTTTATGTGATAGTAGATAAGTAGCATGTGCTATACATTCAGTCAACATAATATATTATGCTACAGCCAATAGCAAGTATGAAGGCTCAGGATGTTAACATTTCTAATGAGCATAGATGAATGAATACCATGATATTAATACACGAGACTGTCGCATTGGTAATGTAGGGCCTTGGACTAAGTATCAATAGCAGTATGTACTCTATTTTTTACATCAATACAAATGTGTAAAGTTGTTTGCTAAATCCACACCAAACATTTACTTTACAAAAAACATAAGCATTCAACTTAATAATTTAAAAAGTGAATTGAGTAACTTGATAATTAAATAATTTGTTGTGATTTGAAAATAAAACATTTATCAATTTATGTAGACACACCCATCATAATTTTGAAAATGTATAAGTAATAATTTTGCATCCCATCATGACCATATTCACCCACTATCATTTAAAGCAAACTCCTTCCCACCTACTACACTCATTTTATCCCTTGCACTTGGACATAGTACATACTTTGTGATAATGGCAATAAGTGGACAGAAAGAATACAAATAATTTTCATAATTATAAGAATAAAAATGGACAAACAAGCAAAATAATGATAAAAACTTTGATGACAATTATAACAATAATAATAGACAATAATATTAATTTGATGAAACTATAATTTATAAAATTTTACACTTAAAAAATTATAAAAGTATGAGACACAATTTAATTCATCTTATTCAAAATATTTAAGTAAATATTGAAAAGGTAAAACTTAAAAGCTTTCAGGATTATCGTAATCAAGTAGGTCTATACTACCTGAAACCACATCTACATTTGTTTAGGGGGCGCTTTTTAAAAACAAGATTATTATTACATTGAAACATAACCAGAGAGATATTTTACTTTGATGTGAACTCCCTGGAAAAAAAATCAGTAGCATATAATGATTGACTAAATAAGCAAAAAAGGTACCATAATGCAATATTCATGCCATCACCATAGTAGCAAAAAGATATGTAGCAATATACAACTGTTTATTATTGGATAATCAATACAATCTAATAATTAATATGATCCAATACAGTACCAATAATTAAAGAATTGAGCGTATACATATTAATGTGTTATATCAAAACCAATGTGTTTTATGAGTTACATAAATAATATGATACCTTAGGTATTCTCACTTAAAATCACCTAGAAGCATTTTTTTTGCATAGAAGTGTACTGAAATATACCAACTTAAAATACTAATCATTAAAAGTGTCAACAACAATGATTTCAATATAATGATACAAATTCAGTTTTAGTGAACTTCAGAGAATAACAATAATGATGACAGTAATTATGGTACCTGTAGTACGGTTTGGGAATATAAACAGAAAAAGAAATAAACATTAAGGGCAAGATGTTACTCAAAAATATATTAACTATATTATGTGAACACTATTAAAATTATTTATTATTACTCTATCTACAAATCTATTTAGACAATTAATTAACAATTCTTCTTATCAATCATTAAATTTAACTCTTGTTTTTCCCACGTAATTTGTTCCCTACCCTGGAATTATTACTGCCCTGTGTATTTTTCACTACCATCTAAACTGTTGTATTTCTATTTTGAAGTACACCTTCATATTCCGGTTTTCCATTTTGAAATGGAAACTAGTAATTTTCCCTGCCCTGGGCATTTTCTATGTTGACTACCCTAGACATAGTAATTAAGTACTTCCCTTGATATTTTATATTATGATCACTTCAGACCAGTGGCGTATCTAGCAGTATTAAAATGGGGGGCTGGTGGGGGGGCGCAACCAAAATATGAGGGGGCGTGGAATTTATTTTCGGTGGCCACGCCCACTGAAAAATATTGCTTCTTAGATTCCCGAATACTTGTTAACCGTGACAGCATCAGCATAAGCATAAGCCTAGCCTAATTTTTTTTGCTTTGAAGTTTTCGAATGGGGGAGGGGGGCCGTGCAAGCTTTTTGTGGGGGGGGGGCGTACATCCCCCCCTGGATACGCCACTGCCTCAGACATTTTTAACTATCAACAGAATATATACTTAGATTGACTTGAAAACTGTCAATAGTAGTTCTGCTCTAGATAATTATAATTTTTTTTTACTAATAATTTATTTTTTGAGAATGTACAACTATATTGACACTAATACCTATAAGTCATCGCGAAGACCACAATACAGTGTTTCAATAGCTCTAGTCGACAAAAGAGCTACAGTAGCAATTTAAGTGAGATTACACAAGTAATGACTTAAGTTTGCAATATTGGACGGTTGCCCTCAATAGAGGGTGCACTTTGCATTAATAAGGGCTTCCTAATTAAATTTTTAGGATTTGGAATGAAATTTTAAAATTTTAACCAAATTATTTTGTTATACTCAAAATAATTTGTTTTACATTTTCTATTTTTTAATCTTAAAATTGGTCACATTAAATCAAGGCATTAAATAACTTGAATATTTTGACTTAGAGTATACATTTTATAGACTAAATTACACTACTGTATCTATTTGCCAACTAATTCCTAGTCAAGGTGGGTATTAAAGCATGCCTTATCTTCACGCTTATTAAAGCTTTTAGTTAAGAGCACATCGTTTCTCAAGGTAATATCATTTATAAGAAGTGATTATATTGATGAAATATTGTGAATACAGTAGACACTGAGGAAGAGAATAGAAGGTGCAACACCTCAAAAGAATAAATTGAAATAATTAATGTACCAGTAATCAATATTCTAACAAATGAGGGCACTCGACTGAACGTAAATTATTCTTAGAAAATCTTTAACAATACTTATAGTGTAATTTTCTGGAGGTTTTGAATTATTAATGGTTTGAGAGCATCACAATAAAACAAAACAATTAAAGATGCACTGTCCCTTGAAAATGACCAAAATCATAAAAAAATAATTTTTAAATTAACTTTTTGCAGTAACATACAAACTATTAACTTGAGCATAGAAATTTTTTTTTTATTTTTTAACTGGATAATTATAATAAAGATAATAAAACACTTCCAGTGACTGGAAGTGTTTCTATCATTTTTTTGCTGTAAAATGATGGTTTTTATGGCTAAGAATTTTTTAAATACACTAATTTCTATGTTCAAGTTGATAATTTTTATGTTACTTTAAAATGGGCAAGTCAATTTCAGAAATGATTTTTATGATACTGTCCCTTTTTGCAAGGGACAGTACATCTTTAAGCAATTTTTATTGTAGTCATAATACATTAAGCAAGTCAATAAATATGGACAGAAACTAATAACAATCAAAAGAAGAAAATAATAAATAATAATGCATTGAGTCTAAAAAGAGAGTAAATAAATAGTACAGTATCTGAATAGTCAGCTTTGGATCTCAATTAAAAAAAATATCTGTGCACATGGGAACTATTACTGAATAACCATGGTTTCAAGAAAGTTACTATGACACAGATATGTAAAAATGAATGTGGTGTCACATGGTACTGTGATATAGATCATGTTTTTAACTCGGGAATAAATATAAGTATTAACCTACACGTCAGTATTGGGTATTAAATTAATAAACAATAACTAATTTACTGTCACATCATTGTTTTATAACCATTATCGGTACCATCATTTCAATATATAAATACATACAATATGATTTCACTGATTCCAGCATCAAATACCAATGATTTTAAAAGGATTTAATACAAAATCAGAACGACTTTTAAGTCAATCAATAATAAACTAACTTAATTCCTGTCCTAACCTTGCTAATCCAATATCTCTCTTCTCTCACTGATGAGGATGCCTTAATCCCTTACATTACCATTCAGCGACTAAGAACCAGGCTCAATCCTTCTACATTATCCCTTCAACGACTAATAACCTGGCTTAATCCATGTGGTTTTTCACAATAACATTTTACTTTATATTTATAAAGAATAATGTTTACTGTCTCAATATAAATATTGCATGTTTGTGAAAATACAAACAAATATAGAACTGAACTCACCTCCTCCTTCAGCCTCCCATCCCCTAGCAAAGATTAAATACCAGGGAAGGGGGTTCTCCCCTAGCAAGGATTAAATACCAGGGGAGGGGAGTTCTCCCTGCTGTATATTTCTCTATATAGGCACATGTCACAGTCTTAGGGAATTCAAACTCAAATTTCTTAATAGGTATCTAGTTTTGTCGTAATATTTTGATGGTTTCCGTCATGAACTTGTCCCGGCATTGCTTTCATCTTCCTCATCATTTTCCTTCTCATCCTTATCCTCCGAGTTTGGTGCCGTTTCCAGACCACTATCAGGAGAAATTTTCATATCTTCAAAATACTAAGGGAGATAATATAAAAAGATCAATCATTCGATTGCAATATGCTAGTTTAAACTTATTTAGTTTTAGCTTTGCCTCACAACTCATATTAATGACAGATAAATAACTCTTAATTATATTATTGTTACTAAATAATAACTCTTAATTATATTATTGTTACTAAGGTTGTGGGACAACACGCGTGTTTGTGATACAAACGCGTGTTTGTGAGACAACACGCGTGTTTGTGAGACAACACGCGTGTTTGTGAGACAACACGCGTGTTTGTGAGACAAACGCGTGTTTGTGAGACAACACGCGTGTTTGTGAGACAACACGCGTGTTTGTGAGACAACACGCGTGTTTGTGAGACAACATGCGTGTTTGTGAGACGCGCAAATTCCTGGCGCTGTTGAGATTAGTGAGTTGTTAAGTTTGATTGACACTCCGGAAAGGTCTATTCTATTTATCTCATCTAAAAGTTCAAAGATACAGAGTCGGTACAAAAAACACCATAAACCTCAATATAAAAATTCAATTAAAAGCTTCCAATGGGACATAAAAAATTAATTAGTTTTCATTAGTTTACAGACATTTTACTAGGAAAATCGCCAAACTGATTACTAGCCAAAAACCTTATAATTTTCAATTCAAAGAGTTCAATTAACATTAAGAAATAGAGATTTATGTTTCTTTTTTAGTAAAAATATTTAACATTTTCTTTTAACTCTAATTCTCGCATCAATTCATCCATAAAGTCTGTAGTTATTTAACATTAGGAATTGGAGACTTATGTTCATTTAACAAGTATTTAAGGTTAGTTTTTACCTCTAATTCTCGCATCACTTCATCCATAAAGTCTGTAGAGTTATTTTTATAATCTACTGCTTGCCTAATAGCCTCTCTAAACATCTGAAAAAAATAACAATATCACAATTAGCCAACTGAAAGGTTCACTTACCCACAATGTTATTACCTCTAGTGTTATAGTATATAAGAGTAAATCATAAGCCAATTTAATAAATAAAATCAAAAGAATTACATTTACCATTGCTTTTATTGTTAACGCTCTCATAATACACTTAGTTTCCTATAACTTCCATAAAATAAATACTTGGATAATATAAAAATCCATGTTTCATAAAAAAATATTATAGATGTTTTGCTTGTTTCCATCAAATTACAATGTATCATTGATATTTAAGAACAGGGGTCAAATAGGGGTCAGGTCAATAAAACTGATGTGATGTGGGTATTGATCAATCTATCAATCAATTTCAGAGTATAACAAATCCAGACATCATTTTAATAGTACACCATCCTAATGACAGTATACTGCTCTGCAAAATAAATGGGGAAAAAACAGGGAAGTGGTACTGATATATTATTTCCCTATTGAAGTATTTTGTTATTAGATATAAAGGAAATATTGCAAAAAAATATGTAGTATTAATACATTCAAGTTGTGTTATTGATTGCAAGGCCTTTGTACAAATGTGTAACAGGATTAGGTCTATAGATAATATTACTGAGTTGTATAACAAAACCTTTTGTTATGCTGTATAAAATTTATCAGCCAAACATTGTTGCATTTCCATGGTAATTCACAAAACACTAACAAATTACAACAAATTATACTGAGTAGTAAGATTTTGAAAGACATACTGAGTAGTAAGATTTTGAAAGACTGCATAATTCATCAGCTCTTCTCTAGTATGCAATGTTTTGCTATCTTTTTTACATTTATATAATTTATGCTGTAGCTATCCTTACATTGATAAGGAGAAAAACAAGACAGCAAATGAAAACATGTAATTTTGCATGATTGTAATTCTCTACTGATCAGCAACCAGGTGTAGTATAATATTAAAGACGACTTTGTGATCCTTTTTCCCTAACTTTAATTTCTTCTTAATTGGTACGAACGCAACTGGTAGATAAAACATGCAGAGCATATGCAGAGTCACTACGTACAATTAAATACTGTATAATTTTACAGCCCAGATAGGAATACTGCCCAGGGAAACCAAAATGGAGTGGAGATGTACTTTGGTGCTTTACATTTAAATCCAAGGTCCTGGGTTCAAGTCATATGAACACTAGGATCCTTGTTACAACACAGCTCCATTGAGCCTCATAACAATTTTACTCTAATTCTTTAATCTTATATACTATTTTAGTGATATTCAGGTAATTCAGAGATATTAAATAAATGTATCATATTATTATCTATTTAATATTCAGTACATCACAGTTCATGACTAGCTTGTTTTTTGCATTTGCATCAAATGTACAGTAGCAGCTAATAAAGTAAGAAGTGTACAGTAACTAATAAATTAAGAATGAAAAAAAAAATCATTTTATATTGCGAGACAGTGCTAATGGCAACCATAGTCAATTAGTATAATCATAATAATACATCACAAGCGAATATGGATGCGGTTATACTTACTTTAACTACATTTGTTCCATCTGATGCTGATACGAAATAGAATGGTAGATTGAATTTCTTTGGAAAATTGAAGGCCTTCTGTGTTACTTTGTAATCGACTGCAAACATAAAACCATATCAACAATCAGTTTGAACAATACAATTCAAAACCTGTTTTTTTTTTTTCAAAGGATTACTGAGTTAAAATTTCTATCATAAAAATAAGTACCGGAAATATGAATTATTATGACCTTAGTGGTAAGACATTCAAAGATCTCTGGGCTTGGTAGAATGAATGAGCATTGCAATGTCGGTATCTAATCACAATTCGTGGCAACTAAAAGAAATTTGTTGTTCACATTGTTGAAGCAGAGAAATACTGAAATGAACTGAATTTCGAAGGACCATATTTGAAAACTATGTATAGCAAAACTATATATCACACAAAATTACTCAATATTTTCAGTAATTTCAACATTATTTAATTTTAAATTTAATTAATGTTTAGGAAACTATTACTAAAAAAAATATTGATTCAAGGTCACACAGTCACTTGGATCAGTGGTCGTTCTTAAACGCATGAATTATATATAAGTTTATAAAAATGTTTAGAAAACTATAAGAACAAACAAAAGATCTGGATGTTGCTTTAACAAGCTTATCTGGCTTATTGCATAAATATTTTTATTATTATTATGTGATAAACAAGCTGATTTTTAAAAAACTAAGCCAGTTAAATGCAGTCCCTGGACCCCAAAGAAAAACAATATCTTCAGTGACTAGCACACACAAGATAAAAGTTCAAAAACCTAGACACAAACAAGAATCATACACAAGTAGGCATTTTATAGTCAAGTTTACAATTAATATATAAAAATAAAACCATATACAAAAGCAACATCTTCTCATTTAATTTAAAAATTACTGCAGGCAATCTTCTCACAATTTATATCACCATGGCAACTATTATACTATTAATAGAATATCTAGGTTAAGTGATACAATAAATGTAAGGAGGCAAACCTACCATCTATTTTATTAGCAGCACATAAACAGGGTATACTTGGTCTATATTCTCTAAGTTCCTTAAAATTTGTTGTTCACATTGTTGAAGCAGAGAAATACTGAAATGAACTGAATTTTGAAGGACCATATTTGAAAACTATGTATAGCAAATCTATATATCACACAAAATTACTCAATATTTTCAGTAATTTCAACATTATTTAATTTTAAATTTAATTAATGTTTAGGAAACTATTACTAAAAAAATATTGATTCAAGGTCACACAGTCACTTGGATCAGTGGTCGTTCTTAAACACATGAATTATATATAAGTTTATAAAAATGTTTAGAAAACTATAAGAACAAACAAAAGATCTGGATATTGCTTTAACAAGCTTATCTGGCTTATTGTATAAATATTTTTATTATTATTATGTGATAAACAAGCTGATTTTTAAAAAACTAAGCCAGTTAAATGCAGTCCCTGGACCCCAAAGAAAAACAATATCTTCAGTGACTAGCACACACAAGATAAAAGTTCAAAAACCTAGACACAAACAAGAATCATACACAAGTAGGCATTTTATAGTCAAGTTTACAATTAATATATAAAAATAAAACCATATACAAAAGCAACATCTTCTCATTTAATTTAAAAATTACTGCAGGCAATCTTCTCACAATTTATATCACCATGGCAACTATTATACTATTAATAGAATATCTAGGTTAAGTGATACAATAAATGTAAGGAGGCAAACCTACCATCTATTTTATTAGCAGCACATAAACAGGGTATACTTGGTCTATATTCTCTAAGTTCCTTATACCAGGTTGGTAGGTTTTTATACGTCACTTTCCTAGTTACATCAAATACCTGTAAAGACGTAATTAAAACAATTAATAATTTTATATCATTAGTCAATATTTCAGCATTTTTTGATGCGCTTCAGATGATGCACAAACTAACATCAACTTTTAAAAAACTAATTAGCATCTTGTCTTTTAATGTTATTCATAAGAAGACAAAACAATAATTAGTTGTTTGTGCATCATCTAAAGTGAATAAAGTACTGTAACATTACCTTTCAAAATTAATTATCAATTGTCTGAAATGCTACTCATGTATAAAAGAAGTAATAGAAATATTTTTTATCATATTTCATATGAAAAAAGAATGTACTTTAAAAAAACTGATATAGAGGATACACTTAAGTCAGTACACATGTTGTGTTTCAGGGTCAAAAGTCAAATCCAAATGAAGTAACTTTTATCTAAGATTTCTTAGTAGAATCCATAAATTAATTTGACCATGATTTGAACTTAAAAACTTGCTCAAGCCTAAAGCAATTACCACATGTAGATTAATAACACCAGCTTGATATGCAAGCCAAAAAAAAAAATTACATATTGATAGTTGCAATTAAGACTTTTAACTGAAGGCTATGACATCAAAAGCCAGCACCCTGCATATTAATTCCAATCCATGTTAACCAACTGGGGATAACTTATACAACTTGACGTCAACCTTTTACATGAGCAGAGTTATATATAAATTCCACTGTATGTACGTAGTAATAACGAATACACAAAAACACAGGATTTCAACATAAAATCGCTAAAATTACCAGGAAATTGTATCTGTGCAATGAATGAATGAAAATATCCTAATTTGTAGGAAATAATATCTTGTTCTAACATTTTTTAATTGAAAGATAATAGACTACAAATAATAATCTGCAGAATAAGCAATTAAATACTGAATCATTAATTTCAAATTCATTATATAATCTTAAATTGACACTGATGTGCGATATCCCTGTGAGGAGACCTTTGCAATTAATAATTATAGATTTTTTAAACTGTAAATTCAATTTTCAGGGTTATACTTTGACCTACTTCTGATGCCCTAGTACTCAGTGCTACAAGGTAGGTAAGACTATGGTAATATCTTAGGTTGTTCGATGAGTTCCCTGCCTACTATTGATCAAGCAAGTCTCAAAATCAATATTGACACAACAGACAATATAAACGCACATGATGTAATAATGAAAATGACAGGAGTTATGGAATAAATGGCACTGAAGAAATTTTAAAAATTATAATGTTTTGGTACACTGTATGCATGATTATTACTATACACTATTGATTCAAACGATATTCAGTTAGTATGATGTTACTATAAATAGGCTATAGACTAGCTCATTACACATTCTGAATAACAGTTAGATGAAAATATGTATAGTATAATCCATATTATATATTATATTCTGCTTAATTTTCAAATGAAGATATAAATATGCTATGGATTGGTATTAATTATTGTGTCTGTTAATTGTTAGAATATAATTACTGTAGTATAGTAATTGTTTTTTCTTTACAGCATTATCTTGCTTGCATAAATAACATCAAACTTAAAAATTGGTTTAATTTCTATTACTACATAATCATACTTATAAGCCAATTTGTAGTTGAAGCTGCACATGCTCATATCCAAGGTCAATTGACATAAACCTATGTTGTGTGTATGGGTGTTTATGTCGATTGAGCTTCACACATACATGCATGGTTCTAACACAAAGTGGCTTATTATGGAATCCTTATAAACTGCTTCAAAGATTTTAGGCGAAAATATGAATAGACTAGGAATAGTTTTTATTTACATTATGTCTCTGTTAGCAGTTACGATTAAGATTGTTGATTGGCTAATTGACATAATGTCACCATTAGCTGTTATGATAAAGAATGTTGATTGGTTGGTCAATGCTCAAAACTACAATTTTGTATCTCGGTTAACTTTAAAAACTGATGTGCAGATTGAACCACAAATATGTTTCTCTTTTTTACCTCACTAATGCCTGCTTTCTTCAATAGAAACCAAGGGAGCAATTATTATCAAACATGGTGACAATCACTGACATTGAGATTGCGCTTAATATTAAGTGAAACTCAATGTCAAACCAATTAAATGTTATATCACTAAACTAACCTACATTCAAATGTACTGTTTAGCATTATTATTTTAAAACCAGAGACAGGATTTTCTATAGTCTGTAAGAGAATCTTAATGTATAAAGCAAACTCAATCCCAATAATCATTTTATTAACGACTTAAAAAAAAAATGATTGACCACATTTGGAAAATTCTTGGCTCATAAAAACCAATGATATTATAAATATATATCATATTATTGATATAATCATTAAATACAAATTGAAAAAAAATCAATGATAAGATGTAGACGTAAAAAAAAAAACTGTGATCATGATCTAACAAACATCTTATACAGTACAAAACAACATAAAAAATAAATCAACCAATAATACAGCATTTACAATGCACCAGTCTAGGAAATTATTTCCAATTTGTACATAATGATGTGGAATTGTAGTGTGGTTAGATTATAATGGATAGGCATAAATTAAACAGAACAGCCAAGATAATCAAGCAACAGTGTCATATGAGCCAATATTTTAATCAAAGATGGCACTGGCGGATACAGGAATTCGTAATAGAGGGGTAGGGGCCCCTAAGGAGGGGCTTTCACAGATACAGAGTCCATCCACCTCAGCCCCAGGCTGGTAATACTGAAGAGTAAACCCATTTGACTTTTAAAAAAGAATGAGGATGCTTTAAGGGTTGGATGTCTATGGTTGGCACCAGGGCCTGACTGCTCCATTTTATTTTTGAGGGATGTACACATGAGCGAGAATAGGCAATTAGTTACATATTTTCATGAAATAATTTTTTTTTAATGGATTTTCAGCAACTATAGATTCTGCCTCACATTTTATGGTTACTAATTTCCAAAACGATTATCAAGACAGCAAATTGCAAACATTATTTCATTTATTTGTTGCTAGGTTACAGCATTAAATTATATAGTCCAATTGTTAGCATACTATTTCCTCATAAACCATTCATAATCCACACTTGGTAATTTCATTATTCGTGTCACCATCATATATCTGCTATGCTGCTTCGTCTTGGCATTAATCAAGCATGGATGGCAAAATTTAGTAAGTAAATTTAGTTAGACAATAATGATGGGAGGATATGGTAAAATTAATGAGAATGGCTAAGATCCTGTGCAATGGTAACAGAAATAATTAATTAAATTTTTGAAATTTTCAAACATCATACACAAATTTTGGTTTCCTTCTTGGAGAAAAACATATTCTTGCTAAAAATCTGATAATTTACATGGTCTAAGTTACACAGATACTCACGAGTATGCACGAGTGTGCTTGATGGTAATATGAAGGGTGCATCTTGCTAAATCTTTCCTGGCCCGCAGTATCCCAAAAATCTAAAAGAAAAAAAAAAAAAATAAAAAAAATAAATAAGGAGCAAGATTGGAAAGAAAGAGTTGTTGCTAGAGTATTTTTGTGGATCAGGGCAGGGGATGTTGTAGGTTTGGGATGGAATAGTGGACATTGAAGATCAAGAGAAAAGGTGTTGTAGGTTAGTGTAAAGTGTATTTTGAATTGGTTGAAGAGAGTTGTATCTTTGGGCATTGATATTAATAATATTTTTTAATGACAATTGATAATCTAAACACCACAGCCCACTAATGACTAATAACTTTTCTAAAAATATTTGCATTTATATTGGTTGACATGAATAATGTTCAGGTTAGGTTAATGACTGCAAAGTCTTAAAACCATGGTAACTGTGGTGGGTTTTAATCATGTCCATTACCACAGCTGTACATGCAATTGTAGTAGGGGCAGCTGGATAGATAAACAAACGGTGCTATAATAACAACACCCACTACTATTATTAATAACAAATACAACAACATTGAAAACAATAATGGGGACAATAATAATAATAATAATAATTGATTAATATTAGTAATAAAATTTACAAAATAAACAAAATGTGCAAGTGTCCTGAAGAGATCAATACAAACTGTGGACTTCCATATGAGCAAAATTGTATTTATAATGTAATTAAAATGAAAGCAACAATGTGCATCACGGAAATAATGTAATATTTTCAGCAATCAACCATTCACAGGAAGAATTAAAAAAATAAGTACATTAGAAAGGAAAAGGACTGGTGCACCTTAAAAACAGCATTAGTTTGTAGATGCCATCCTATTAATCTACAGAAGTTTTATTTTTAGAATGATTACTGATCACCATTATTATTACCATGATTTAGACTGAAGTCATAGATTTTGTAACAGAATCTCGAGGACTGGTAAATGAGTTAAAGATGGTAGTCTACAGTGGGCAATAAATGATACAATATAACATTTTTATTGCAGCAATATGAATTCTAGAAAAATTTTCATGATGCCTGAGAGGAAGAAAACACAACAGGGGGTATAAAAATAAGTTAAATGAAAACATAAATAGTGACTAAAAATGACAACAATCCCAAAAACTATAATCAATGCAACATAAAGAGGTATTCGAAAAGCTAATCCTACAAAAAACAAAAGCACACAATATGAAAGGTGAACTTAGGATTTAGAATACTAAGAAGATGGCAGGATCATCAAATAGTATTTAAGCACCTTTGAATGCTTGAATTGTTTTCATAGAGAGGGCAATTTGTAGCCTGATACACTTATGAGGCAGAACACTGGCAAAATATCTAAGTTGTTGCACAGACCAGTATTGAGTAAATGAATTATAAAATATGGGGGCTCAAAAAATGACACAGAAATATCTTTTTTCACTATATATCAGCAGTTTCATATCTAATTAATCTTATCCCAAAGTCTTAGTTCTGGATGGTAAATAAACCAGTTATGTCATGTCTTTGGTAGTCAATTTCATTGGAAGGTGATTAGTCAAATTATCTTTATCCAGGAAATTACAATTTTGATCAATCGCGTTAAAGATTACATACTCAAGTATCTCACATTAATAACTTAAATTTCAATTTTTGCCACAACATGCCATTTTATGCCACCACATTTTAGGATTAGCCACTCAATGGCATATCTGGGGGAAGGGGAGAGGGAGGGTGTGCAACCATCCCTCTAGCGCCCCGCACATAATCGTCAAGCCCCACCCCACATGACCTTCGGGCTTCCCCATCAGCTCCTCACCCATGAATTAATAAATACCAATTACAGAATCAAGATCAGGATGAGACAAGATACACAGGTAAAGAAACTTAATTAGCCATTAGATATTCTTTATCAAATGAAGTGTAATTAAAATATTCAACATAGATGCCTGTTGCTATGGATTCCGTCTTAGAATGAATCTGTTTTAATAAAAAAAAAATGAAACAAATAGCACTTACCTACAGTAACTTCCTTTCCATTTATCTTTGTATTGTATGTAGACAGTGTGAGAGCAAAGGTTGATAGCTGCTGAGGTTGACTAAGTACATATTAAGGAGTGCAACATAATTGATGAATACATACTGTAAGCAAGTACCTTAATGAAACTACTAACATACACAATATACTGAGTGCAAAGTCCTAATCAATATATTTTGATAATAATTGTGATAATCTAAAATATAAGACCCTGGTTGTACTATCAATTTATTAGATGATGATGATGCTGCAAAAAATTGAATTGACCAATATTAGTTGCAATACAAAATATAGCCTAGGTATTTAGTTGCAAAAGGATACTATCCATCCATCAGAAACCGCTCCACTAATCTGAAAGGGAATCAAATTTAAAAAGGTTATATATATAAAATAAGTGCAATAAACTCATTCATTAATATTAATACATGATCTTAATAAAATAAAAATATTTACAACTTAATGGCTCGTAAAATAATCAATAAACAAAGCTTCCTATCCTCATTATTTCTAGCCTCATCTTATTCCTCATCCCACCAAAAAAAAATGAGGAAACAAAACTGTCATCGTCTCTCGTTGTCACAATTCACTAGCTTCAGTACAGACAAAATTGGCTTAGGCCCCAACGTTTATGTTGTGGCCAGGCCCAGTGGAATATATATGGGGGAATGCAGGATGAGAAGGCACAATCATACCAGAACAAATATTGAGCCCTTCTCTGGGTAATTTCCATAAATTTGGTATCATTTCGGACACTTTGATGATACTTTGATAAAATGTTATTAGATATTTATTTTTCTAATGTGCATGGTATCTAGTATTTGAATTATGTTGGATGTACTATAAATGAAAAAAAAAATATTAGTATCCAGTATTACTAATTTATAAAATTATGCATTAAATACTGGGTTAATCCAACTATTACTGCTTGAAAAACTCATCACAAACAACTATGGTATTTCAATATACTGTATTTATTTGAATAAACGCTCCGGGGTGTTTATTGTTTAGAAGGGTTTTTAAGGGGCATACATATGAGGGAGGCGTTTATTAAGGCTGGCATTTATTTTTTTGGGTGTAAAATGGATACGTATACTCAAATATAGCCCCATAATTTCATTGTAAATGTGGGACTACAACACACAATTACCATCAAAATGTATTATTGTGTGATCATAAAGACTTATTAATCCTAACCAGGTTAGAAATTAGAAAAATGTAGTTCTATTTCTACTGTCTACTGGAGTAGAATATTCTTTAATAGAATATGTTGTAAATGATGGTGCCTACATTAGTTTTGTTTTTGTTTACAGCCACTTTGGGGGGGAGGGGGGTGGGGTGTGCGCGTTTATACGAGGAAAAAAAACGCCCCAGGGTGGTTATTCGAGGGAGGCGCTTTTTTTCAAAAGAGGCTCTAGAGAGGGGCACTACTAGGCTAGCTAGGTAGGTAGGCATACAATGTTTTTCTTTTTACAAATAACTTTTATGCAAGAGTGATTCAATGACTATTATGAACGATTTATTTAAACGTGTTAGAGCAAAGCATGTAGGCCTAGGCCAAAAGCTAAATTTTTAGGCTTCCTTATGATTTATCTACACGGGTGCAGGTCAACTCGGCCACAAGTCAACTCGGCCACAGTCAACTCGGCCACAAGTCAACTCGGCCACAAGTCAACTCGGCCACAAGTCAACTCGGCCACAAATCAACTCGGTGCCAACTCGGCCACAAGTCAACTCGGCCACAAGTCAACTCGGCCACAAATCAACTCGGCCACAAGTCAACTCGGCCACAAGTTATTTAATGTAAATCTAAGTTTTTGCATCCTTTTTCTTCAATATAGGATTGAAATAAAGTATGTTTTAGTAAAACAGGACCACCACACTACCAAAAGAGATTAA